CCTGGTAGTTGTCATTCATGCGGGAGTGTGCTGTGCAAATAAAGTCTCCTGATTTCCCTGTGGGTTCAAGTTATTCCAGTTACGAGTCAGAGCCTTCTGCAAGTGTGCCAGTGATGTTCAGGGAGCTAGTCCCAGGAAAGAGGTGAAAAATAACCCTGAAAAGTATTAGGTCAGTGTGAACAGTAGATACCTAGGCAGTTCCCAGGGAGGTGTACAAGCCTGGGGTCTGTGGCAGCATGCGGAACTTCGATGTTCCTGTTCCTCCCCTCTCCATGGGCTGAATCCACAAGAAGAGAGACTGTGACTCCCAGAGCCTTCTGCGTGTCTCCTCTCTTGCCGTCCTTGCGCTCTTTGGGATCTGAGAAAAGTAAACATGTACCAACGTAGAATCATGGAATAGTTTGGGTTGGAAAGGACCTTAAAGATCTTTTGGCTCCAACGCCCTGCCCTGGGCAGGGACCCCTCCCACCAGCCCAGGTTATTCCAAACCCCATCCGACCCGGCCTTGGACACTGCCAGGGAGGAGGCATCCACAGCTTCTCTGGGCAACTCGGCCCATCTGCTTCAGCTCTCCTTGAAAATTACCCCCAGGAAGTGCTTGGCACAAGGGTTGTTCCTCTGTGTGTGGCACGCCAGGCTGGTGCCTAAAGCTTTTGGCTCCGATGGCAGGGACTTTCTGCTGAGGCCAGTGGCTGTGCCTTGCGGGAGCTGAGGCCGAGCGGGGCTGCACGTGCTCTCTGCCAGCGGTTGCGGTGCCGGCGCTGACTGCGGGGCTGGGACTCCTTCTCCCACCAGCACATCTGCTGTGTGGTGGGACATGCTTGTGGGACGAGCTGGTCTCTGAAGGAACCTGGAGGTGCTGAGCACTGTCCCTAGGAAGTCTCTCTTGGGGGAACAGGCACCACTTTAATTTTTTTATTTCTTGAGTTCAGCAGTGGGGTTTGAAAAGAGAAGACCCAGGAAACAGAAGCCTTTAATTCTGTAACCTGCCAAGTCATGCCTGTGGGGAGCTCTCTTCCCTCTGCACGTTGGCGTTCATCCATAAACCACGCTTCCTGGGAAACTAGTTTGTGTCCTTGAGATACCAGTGTGAGCTCTTCCTTAGCACTGGATCCCTGTGGTGCAGTTGCTTTTCAGTCACCTCCACTTGAGCTGTGAGTGCAGGATGAGCCACCCCCTCCCTGGCAGCCTGTGGCTGCGAGTGACAGCTGCTGGGGGTTTGGCTTTTACGCTGGGACACCTTGGGGTTTTTGATCTGACCAGGGCTGGCAGCAAGTGCCGCTGTTCCTGATGTGTGCCGGTGGCTTCGGCGGGTGAGGTGAATGCTGTGCAGAGAACATCCTGCTTGCAAGGAAATTCATGAGAACCAGGAATACAAGATTTTGCAGATATCAATGAACACTGCAGTGTTTGAGGCCCTGTGCAGATGTGTAGGAGCTTCCTGTCTGTGCTCACAGAGCCTGTGCCTCTAGGGACAGGGGACTAAAGCTTTGAGGATGAACTGTCCTCTCATTCTGTTCCTCTTCCAGAGTGTCACAGAGCCAGGCAAGTGCCCCACTGAGCACCGGGAGCAGCGCTGCTGCTGGGAGCAGTGAAGCTCCATCGAGGTGGGGTGGCTCTGCTGGGACTAGCCCTGGGGCCACTGGTACGTGGCTTCTGAGGCATTTTGTCTTTGCAGAGCTTCCTGAGAGCTGGGCTGATATGCAGGAGCCACTGCTTGAGGGGATGTGCTTCACGCTCAAGTATCTGGGCATGACGCTGGTAGAAAAACCCAAAGGAGAAGACATGGCCGCTGCTGCCATCCGCAGGATCGTTGCCACGGTGAGAGCTGGCCCCGGGGCCCGCTGTGCCAGGCAGAGGAGAGGCAGTTCAGAGCCCAGCCCTGGGCTCGAGAAGTGTCTGTGTCCCAGCCCCAGAGCAGGAGGCTGTCCCAGGAGGAGGGTGGCACGTGCGGGGCTGGCTGGTCGCACCCGTGTGCTCCGGGGGAAGCTAACCTGCAGGGCAGCTACTGCTGCCCATCCCCACCCTGGGAAGGAGGCAGGAGCCACACGGAAGGGAGGGTGAGGTACCCGGGAGGTGGGGTCTGTCCCTTCCCAGTCCAGGAGTGTTCGCTGCAGCGCACGCCTGGTCTCCAGGCTCTGCTTCGTTGCTCTGGCAGCAGGAGCTTTGCAGCAAGGGTCCAGCTGGTGACTCTCTACAGAGCCTGGGGGATTCTTGCACGCGATGAGGGGTGAAGACCTTCGCTGCATTTGCAGAGGGGTCTGGTGTCTCCCCACTGCCAGGCACGAGTGGGAGCTCGCAAGTTCCAGAAGGTGATTCTGACCGTGTCTCCGAGGGGCATTTCGCTGCAGGACGCAGACACAAAAGAGATGGTTGAGAACATCTCCATCTACAGGTGGGCACGGCATGTGGAGGGCCTGGGTGTTGCCCAGCAGCTAGCTGGAGGCTGGGGGTATCTCGAGCAGCCAGAGTGGTCTGGGCCATCTGCTGGGGAGGGCTGGGCCTGTCTGTCCGTGATACCTTCGAGCTAAGTTTCCTTTGGCTCTCTGGGGCTGGAGCTCTCTCCCCAGTGCCCCACGGCACTGCCTGGGGCTGAATGCAGGCAGTGTCCCGGTGGTGCTGAGTTCTAGGTTAATCCATCTGTCTCTTCTGTGGGCCCTGCTTGTCTCTTCTGGCATTCAAGCAGGCCATGGAGGCTGGTGTTTGGAAAGCCCCACAGTCAGGGCAGGGCTTGCCTGTCTGTCTCTGCTGACGCAGGACTGGCCGCCCTTATGGCTGCAGCAGCATGAGGGGGCCACAGGCTGTAGCGTGCTGGGGCTGGCTGAGGGCAGTTGCTGTGAGAACTGATGAGGGGGTTTTCCATGGCCGCCAGCCGTGCTGGGGCTGGG